AATTCTCTCATTAGAAGTGGCAAGGAACATCTGCTTCTATCTCTGATGGTGTTGATTATGTTTTCTTTCACTTTAATTGTCATGTTGGTGGCACACAAGATTTACAGGGAATTTTAATGAACATAATCCTAGTAGATTTTTTTAACCGTCCAGTGAAATAGGCAAGGCAAGCATCATTATAAACATTTGCTTAGACATATATAGACTAAAGCTCAGGAAAGTATCAAGATTCCTGGTTGAATTCTCTTCCCATAGCACATGGTTGCTACCCTTTAGTTTATAATTTTGTGGCAGGCACATATTGCCTTTTACTACATGGTTTGTTTCTCCAACCATGCATTGGGGGTGATGGAGGGGGATATGTTGTGGTGCACGAGGGGCAGAAGCTGGAGCTCACAGATGAAAGTCAATGGACTCAGGCAATAGTTGGTATTTGCATTATGCTCCTTGCTCACCACTGAGGAATGCCAGTTTTTAAATGCAGGTGGTAGGAATAAAGGAGCATTTCATTGACTAAGGATGGGTCCAAATAATGCTGGGAAGGAGGTGGAAGGCAGCTCATTTCCCTATGTTGGTGTTTTGGGGGAGATGCTCAGAGGCTGGCCTCTATCTCATCAGAAAATATTGCCTAAGGTAAGGCTTCCTCAGAAGCAGACCTTCAAGCAAGAATTTGGGAGCAAGTAGTTTGAGAAGAGATTCTAGGAAACACAAGTAGTGAGGTGGTAATGACACTGGAGAAAAGACAGTTGATAAAGACAATGATAATCATCAGGTAAGTTATCATGTGAGAAACCAGAGATTGAGTCTGCTGGAGGCATTCTGGGAGAAAATATAGAACACACACTTAAAGCTATCCAAACTGGTCCCAAGCAAACTGGATATACACTCACTCATCCCCAATCATCCTGGTTGAGGACTGCTTCCAGGGATATTAAAACGTCAGCCTTTATGTTGTTCTCAGCCCCAAGGCAGAGAATTACAGGGTTCTTCAGTGCAACAACCTTTGTGAGTGGAGTAAGTGCTCAGAGGATGTAGGCCAGGGCACCAGCAGTGCCCAGCAGAAGGATTATGGTCGACATTTTTCTTGAGTTGTTTGTGGAAAGAGAATCATAAACTCAAAGCAGTATAGCCCCTATGGCAAGAGCCTGAAGCAAAGGATGGGTGTAAGAGTGGGTAGGGAATATCAGCTGGTGGCACCCTGCTTAGGAGTGGAATTCTAGAATGTTCCCTACTCATCCTGGAAATAACCATGGGCTCTATGGTTAAATGACTATTAAATAGTTTCCTGTTCTTTTGTTTCCTTGTTTCCCCAAATCTTCTCCATTCTAGATATTGATTTGAGTTTCTAAAACCTAGATGGAGAACCTGAGGTATATCACTAACTTACTCAAAGGTAAATGACTAAGTTGATAATTATACACAGACCACTTAGAGCAAGAATTCCAACATCTTGGGCCATGAAGTCAACACTTTCAACTCTTCTAAGAAAGTATGACTTGATATTCATCCTTTGAACACTGTTTCATCCTCTAAACTTGCCTCCTTACTTGGGCCAAGGATTTTGCAAGTCTCTTCTGAACAAGAGGGAAAAGTTTTAAACAGGTATTGACTGAGTTGCAGAGGAGGTACCCCAGCATTACTTAATGAAAAAATATAAGTAGCTTGTACATTGATTGCTTCATCAATCCTGGCCCCTGCTTCCCAAATGCATTCACTCTGGACATATCATTTTAGTTATCCCCAAACCTGAAGAATTCTTTGCTTAAACTTATTTCATCTGTGAGGTCTTTCCCCATCACTCTATTTTTAAAATAACACCCTCTTGCCTATGCCTCCACTGTTTATCCCCTTCATCCTACATAATAAGAGAATATGCAAATTAACCATCACTCTGCTATGCTCACATTGAGAGAGGCACCATCCTGAATTTATTTCTCAGGCCTCTCTAAAGCTTTATACACATTGGGTTTGAGTCATGCCTCTATAACTTACTAGCTGGGATAACTTATTTAACTAAACTATTATCTTCTTCTGCAAAATGGGCTATAATGCTCATTTTACAGAGTTTATGAATCTAACTAAATAAGGCATTTAACATAGCACCTTGGCATGGACTGGATGATTACAAAAACTTTCTTTTCTTTCTCTTAATTTCCATTGCAATCATCAACTTGCTGACAAAGCACTGAGACAAAGATTAGGGAACGTTGGTCAAATCAAATGTGGGGAGGGTATGGAAGGATAGTAGAAACTAGAATGGAAAGGCAAAAGAAAGGACTCTGTTACTAGGACCCAGGATCACCATTCTCTGCCATCTGGCCTTTTGTAGACAGGTCATGGGAGAAAGAGATGGAAGATTTAGCTTGTACAGTGTTCCTCCTTCTTACATTTCTAAGTACTTCCTGAGTTGGCACATTACGCAGAGCTGATTCATCCACAGGGAATATGTTCTCCTTTAGCCAAAAGGAGCTGACTGCATTAGAGCTGAAGTTGAATGAACTCAATTATCTAAGAAATATGCTTCAGAATGAATTATGGGATGGATCTTAAAGCAAAATGCCCATATCATACCTTACTTATATCTGGTGTGGGATTTTAATTACTCAGACTATGAGGTGAGGGAGGTAATGGTGGTTTGGTAAAGGTGGTGAAAGAGATGGAGGTGGAGGCAATGGTGGTGACGGAGGTATTAATGGTAATTGGGAAGGTATCAGTGATAAAGGTGGAGGTGGTGGAGGTGCTATTTAAGATGGAGAGGTGGTAAGATGCAGTAGAAAGGTAAAGGTGGTGGTAGTCAAGGCAGTGATTATGGTGGAGGTACAGGTACTACAGGTAATGGTGATACTAGTGGAAGTGTTGGTGGTAGAGACAATTATGGTAGAAAAAATGATAGTGATGTCAAGAAAACTGAAAACACATGTCCATACAAAAACTTACATATGAGTGTTCATAGCAACACAATTCATAATAGCCAAAATGCAAAAGTAATCCCAATGTCCATTGATGGATGAATGGATAAACAAAATGTGTTTTCCATATACTATTTGGCCATAAAAAGGAATGAAGCTCTGTTACATGTTTCAACACAGATGAACTTTGAAAACATTAAGCTAAATATAAGAAGCCAGTCACAAAGGATCACATATTATCTAATTCCATTATATGAAAAGATGAAAATAGGCAAATCTATGGAAACAGAACATAAATTAGTGGTTGCTTACAGCTGGGGGAAGTAGGGTGGGATTGATGACTAATAAGAATCAGGTTTCTTTTTGGGATGACATTATTCTAAAATTAGATTGTACAACTCTGAGTATACCAAATACCATGAATTATATACTTTAAATAGGTGACCTGTAATGTATGTCAAAGTTGTTAAAAAGTTGGGGTAGCAGTGCTAGTGGTTGTGAAGGGCTCAATTTTGGTGGGAGTATACTGGGTGGAGCAAGGAAGAGTAAGAGTTGATTGACAGCTGATATAGATAAATCTATGTAGGGCCAAGTCTGAACACACAGATTTTTCCCCCCCACCCTTTTTCCTATTTTCTGGAAAACTATATATCCCTCCACAGCCAACAATGAATCTACACACACATATTTCTGAAACAGATTATAAAATTCAAGCCACATTTCAACTTCCATTGAAATTGTTTCTAAAGGAGACACGTTTGTTTTTTCCATATAGTGTCCTCAGCACACAGAATTGGCTTCTTAGTAGCAATAGGACAGGAGAGCCAGGTCTCCTCTTCCTATGTGAGTGCAAAGTCAGATGGGGTCCAGGAAGAAGTGAAAGCAGATATTTGGTGTCTATAATTTTTAATAATTTTAAACTAGCTACAAAATGTCAATCACTTCACAAACTGACAGAGGAGACAGAAGAAATTTAATATTACATGCTGTAATGATATTTATCTCACAGTTTATATTTCATTCATTTATATTATTTTTAAAGGTTTATCAGCTACTAAACATCTCAGCAATTTGGTGTGCATAGCTCTAGATTAAGCAACAGAGAACTGTACTGATAACAAATCACAGGGAAAACGGTGATTAGTAAGAGTCAGCCTTATAAAATTTACATCTCCACACTGTTTCAAAGCAAGATTGCTTTCTCCAAACACAGTCTTTAAAAGCAGCAAACAAACCCTATATTACAATCATTTGACATAGTTTCAGCCAAATGTTTATTTTGCTGGAAATGATTGAATGGTGAGTGTGTCAAATTCATCTTTTTAAAAAATTCTTTTTTTTTTTTTAAAAAGGATGATGATGATTAATAAGACTATCTTGACAGAAAGGAAGTGACACTACTGCAGTTTTGCTGGTATAAATTAATCTTGACAGTCTCGATACTGAACATGCTTTGCTGTTTTGTTGTTGCTGTTGCATGTGTGTGTGTGTTTTCATCAGTATGCTGCTGTCATGGAAAGATTTTATTAAGTAGGAATCTAAACTCTATTTAGTTCTCATGCATAAATGCATAAATCACATCACTTTTAGTGCAATGCCTGTTATGTAATTCCACATTTGTCTCATCGTGAAATTATAAAGACAGATGACAGCCAGGAGGAACCAAAGACAGCAAATTTTGAGAGTTTCAGAGCCCAACACCCAAAGAAAGGACCGTGGCAGCAGCTCTGTGGAATGTCACAGTTTTACAAGAACAATACTCTGTATTGAAAAAATCAATAGCACATTCCCTTAAATTGTCATTCAGCAAACGCCACTGAGGAGAGAAAAAGAAAAATGAAACCCAAGACATTTTACATTGGGAGTTAGAGCCACCAAATGACCACTATATACAACCTTTGGAAAGAGAGAGACTCAGAAAGAACAAAAGACACAATATTTTTGGGAAGTTGATGGATGACATAGACAACATTTCCAATGGAGGTGGACTTATGTGTGTATGTGTGTAGACCTACTAGGTAATACCATGAGAAAAGCATGAAGGTGCTGCCTTGCCTGACAGCATTTGGGAGAGAACATAGGTGGGCACATTTAACCGCTCCCGAGCATCTTTGTTGCACGTTGGTTGGCCTCATCAATTCTGGTTTTGTTGGAATCAGCCTGGGAAAAAGAGAAAGAAAAGAAAATTGAGGTTAACCATTAACATTTCATTCATCCTTGTGGGTCCAGCTCAAATGCCCTCTTTTGGGTGAAGGCATCTTGAAACTTCAATCAGAATTGATGATCCCTTTTGTGTGTGTGTGTGTGTGTGTGTGTGTGTGTGTGTGTGTGTGTGTGTGTGTTGCTTATGACTGTAAATGGACATGATCATAGATACTTGATTTTAGGTCTCATGGCTGTTTTCCCCACCAGAGAGTATCCTTTTAAAGACAGAGTTCTATCATTTATTGTTTTCTCCTGAAGTGACACCCGCTGACCTCTAGAGTAGACAGTCACATCTGTTGGATTGAGTTGAATTACTACCACTAGTGTTGCTGGGGTCAAATCATGGATAACTTACTAGTAATGTCACTTTGAGTAAATTACTTAACATGATGGGGCCTCAGCTTTCTCATCTTTAAGTCAAAGGAAACAAAGATTACAGCTAATGAGAATGAGTGTCTACTAGGTTTCATACATTCAACTTTAGTAACATCAAGACTGACATCATCTATGAGGTGTATATTTTTAGCTCCTTTTTCTAAGTGAGAAAACCAAGAATAGAGGATTTAGGCAGTTTGTCTAAAATCATAAGTCCCCATAAATGGGGACACAAGAGCCAAATGCAAGCAGCCTAGAGTCCAAGTCCACACTGCCTATCATTATGTCACTAATTTTACTTCTTAGGTTTTCTTTGAGGATGAACTGTGTTTATACACATAATGTGCTTAGAATAAGGTTTTACTGTTTCATTACCTGGTTTTCTAATCTGAAAGATAATAAAAGGATAGTTCAAACCTTGGATCAGAAATTAGTGAATTAAGTGCTTGCTATAGCTTATCTTGCTATTATTGTTTGGTAAAAACGTGACTTGCTTGTGAGATGTCTAATATTTTTTCAGCCCCATTTCTGAAGATTCACTCCTTTAAGTTTGATAACTGACTTATTTTAAAATGGGTGAATTTACCATACTTTTGTACCTTGATTAATCTCCTCACTGCTTGAGTTACCTTTGCTGTGCATACAGCATGAAACCCGGGGCTGCTACCAAGCTAGACCTTTAAACCCCAGAAAATAAATTATTTCTAACATCACTGAGAAACATATGAAGCAGCAAGTAGAAGCAAAGACAAATGTTCCAGGAAAACTGACCTGTTTTTCTATCAATAGTATTTATTCAATGATTACTGATTTTGCATCTAGTACTGTTTGGTGTGTTCCAATTTCTTTCAAGTTGGGTCTTCTTTATTCAGTTTAATTGTGAATTCCTAGGATACTAGAGTTATCCATACTCAAATATCAATTTGTGAGTGGAAATATAAATATTTTAGGTTATTCATAACTCTGAATTATCTGGCAATGATTCCCTACCATATGTTTGGACTATCAAGAGTTGACTTTCAAAACAAGTGAGAGCATTAATTTTCCTTGATTGTTTTGATCTATAGACTCATATTTTGGGCCTTGGATTCCTAATTTGAAAAACGATATTCTCTCCAATTTTACTTGGCTCTCAACTCTTACTTCTTCAGCTACAAATCCTATCAGAAACAATGACACTTGGATGCAAAGGAAAATTACAAGCTCAGGTCAATGTGCAATGCTTTGCAAGTTGAATTATGCTATTTTTCCCAGCCTGAAAAAAGCTCAATGAAAAAAAAAATCCATTTCAAAAAAGGTGGCATTTCTGGAGGCAAATGTTCTAGGGCCTTCTGCATTAAAAATGCACCGGTGAGCTTCACCTGGTGAGGCAAGAGGATAATCTGAAGTAGAGCACATGATCACTCTGGATATCTTTAAAGGATTTGGGAGGAGCTGGAACAGACCTGAGTTCAATGAGCATCTGATTTCCACTTAAATTCTTTCTGAAGCAAATCAAAATTCCAGCCCATATTATATCTGACACAAAAGGTACCATTTTATTATTCGTGTAACAGAATTAGTACTTTTTTGGGGAAAAATGCTGAGATAACCTTCTCCGAGGTGTCTTCCTGGTATTTGGAGAATGCCCCATGTTTATTCTAATTATTCTAGAGGCCCAATGCACGAAATTCATTCAAGGGGCTCGGCCCTCTCAGCCCCAGCTTCGTCCAGAAGGTGATCTGGAAGGTTGTTTGGCTGGCTGCCTAATTAGCATACTATGCTTTTATCATAGGTGCTTTAGAACTGTATTTGTGAAATGCAGCCCCTTCATTTTCTTATTTCTATTTAAAGAATCCTAAACTTGCCGGCATGCCCAAGACTTGCCCTTGTGGGAAAGTGAAGATGCCCACTGGAAAGCCAGTAAGAGAATTAGAAGGAACTATTTAGCCAGCCCTTCTTAACACTCTGGAAATCTCAACTTCAGACCATGACAGGTAGTTTTTAGGCCACAGCTGAGACCTGCGGAATTAGAGGCTCATTATCTATCATGGCAGCCAGTTCTGATCCCAGGTTTGAATTATTCTCTTATTATCTTATTATCTTTCAGATGAGAAAATAAAGGTCATGAAGCAGGAAAACCCCATTGGACCCAAGATCTTAGTTTTCAAATGCCATGTTTGCCAGTTGATGGGAGAATCTGAGGAGTGCTATGGCACTCTCACTATATTTCATCAGGTGTGACATCTACCACTGACAACTTTATTTATTTATTTAAAAAAAAAAAATATATATATATATTTTTTTTTTTACTGATTTCAGAGAGAAAGGGAGAGAGAAAGAGAGGTAGGAGCAACAATGATGAGTATCATTGATCAGCTGCCTCCTGCAAGCCCCCTATTGGGGATCAAGCCTGCAACCAGGGCATGTGCCTTTAACAGAATTGAATCTGGCCCTTCAGTCTTCAGGCTGAAGATCTATCCATTGAGCCAAACTGGCTCGGGCTCACTGACAACTTTAACTGAAGTTTGCATATCTATAAGTTTTTTTTCCTTGGCAACAACTCCATAAAAATATCTGATATAGTCTTGCCCCATTTTAGTTTTCTGAAAGAATGTAAGAGTTTAAAACCTTGTAAGAGTTTATACAAGGGTGGACAAAAAAAAGTAGGTTTACAGTTTATTCTTATAGTATTTATTATTATTATTATTGTATTACTTTTTATACAAACTGTAAACCTACTTTTGCCTACCTGCATATGTAAATATCCTGAATTAGAAAGCAAGGTTTTTAAAAAGGCAAAGTAATTTCTTGACAGTCCTTGGGGATATAGTGAAAATTGCTTTGAACTCCCCAAATTTCATTATTAATCCAGATGATAAGGAAGGATCATTACTGATGAAATTGGATGAAGGTTGTTGTTGGGGTCATGAGAGAATATGAGAAAAACATCATAAAATTCTCTTTACTTTTACCATGTAATTTTAATTTAATCTTAGGTATTCAAGAGATCTTTGCCCAACATTTCCTATTAACAGAAGTGCAAACTTACATGAGAAGGTGAAAGTCTGTTAATAATTGTGAAGCCCATATAATATGTATTAGTTGAGGGCAATGCTGGGTTAAAAATGGGTTCTAACTAAGTCATGTCCAGATTGTATGATAATTGGGTGGGGTTGGGAAGGGAGCTAGTTATTCAAAGGCAACTAAACCCCTCCCTACTTTTTAAGCAATTTAGCATTCAAGGAACAATACAAACTATATGACTATTTCCCATTGGGACTTTGGATTAAACCATGTAGCTTTATATGTCTTTGTCCTCATAGTAAATTTGGGCCCAGAATGAAAGGGTTTCCCTGAAGATTAAAGCTAGAATTTTGAAGTGGCAGAATTAAAGTGCCACTTGCCTTTCTAGGAACATTTTTTCCTGCTTCGAGTCCAATTCTATCAATAAAGTTTGACTCCTCTCTCTTAGTAAAAGTTCTCCTCTGGAACTCTAATTGAGTTAGAAATACATTATCCCCCTACATCTTTTGAGTAAATTGAGTCCATGAATAGAAAATGACTACTTGTTTTTTAAAATCATTTTTCTGTTGGAAGGTAGTTCAGCAATTACTTCTTAGTGTATTTTTCTGGGCCATAATGGGTTAGGTCAGTTCGTGTTAGCTCCAGTGCTTTTTCAAGCTCTCAATATCATTCTAAAATCTATTGATTTGCTCAGCCTTAAAAGCTTCAGCATATCAAAGGCTCTAAACAATGGTAAATATGTCATGACTTATAAACATAAGTAAAGCACAAGCATTTCGCCAACCAACACTGACATTTGTGTAGCTCAATATTGATCAGGCAAAATATTATGCAGTCAGATACTTTCAATATGGAGCCCTCAGGATACAAAAAGGCAAAGTGTTTCCTTTATGTCTACTCATTCCTTTTTCAAGTCAGTGGAGACTTGAAACTGAGTATTTAGCCTTATGACTCAAGAGATCTCAAAAACATCCTTCTTTATTCATGAAAGTAGAATGAATTGTTAAAAGGAAATTCAGGGGCTCAGGTGGAAAACTTCAATATCTTCCAGGGAATAAATTTATGCATTTTAAGCTCAGCCAACTAGAATTGATACACAATTATGATTAAACCTATAATGTGTCTATATATTTTTTTCTTTTGAATTAGGATATTTTAAGAAATTTTAAGCATTAATCAAGATTCTCCTGACTGGGGAAGGTTGAAATACAAGGATATAGAAACAATGTCAGATTTATATAATGTGTAATATTAGGTTTTGGTGTCCTTTTTATAAAAGTTCTCCAATGTTTCTTTCTCTTTCCTTCTAATCTCAAGCCCCCCCACACACACTTCTTCCCATTCTACTCTTGCCACTCTTCCTTATGCTTCTTGTGACCCTATAGGCTCAGTTACAGAGTCATATCTGGTGTCCTTGTGTGAATTCAACCTTGTCACATTATGTTTCTCACGTTGAAAACTGGACATGTGTATTGTTGGCTGGAAATGGAATCTGAGCCTTTTAGAACTATCATTAAAACTTTGGCATTTATAAAAATCAAAGCTTATATTCATCTTCTGCCTAAACTAATTACTCTTTTCCCCATTTCCTGATTTTATTCCTAAATCATATCCACTGTCTAGTTCCTAATCATCCTTTAAAACTCAGTTCAAGTTCAATTTTCTTTTTCTTTTTAAATTTTCCCATCCTCTGAACCTGGAAATCTTCCTTCATCTAACCTTCTTAGCATTTTATGCGTGGCTCACTCAATGAATTACATTTTCTGTGGCAGTAAATTCATCTGGAAGCTAACAGTCTCCCCTAGGCTATGAGTTTCTTGGCAGATGGATGGTATCTTTCTCATCTCTATATGTTCTGTGATGCTGAGCACCATGCTGGAAATAGAGGTGCCTCTGAGGATTATCTGCTAAATTAAATTCTATCTTCTACTTATCTGTTGCTGAATTATTCCATCTACCAGTGTGTCTGAATCCAATGCCATGGTTTGAGGGTCTCATTAGGCCCCTCACACTTTCTCAGTGTTAGTTCAGAAGTAATGAACAATGGAATCTTGCTGACTGCCACATGCTTACCTTCTCCATGATCCTGTCAATCTGGCGATTCTGTGTATCAATCTCATTGCCCATATCCAGGGCCATGTGACGGAGGTTTCCAATGATGCCGCTCACCTGCTCCAGGTTTTCATCCATTTCATTTTCTCGGGCATCATTTGTTACCCTGGAAATGAAACAGCAATTTTTAGTGAATAGAGGATGAGGAAAAAAAACTTGAATACCAAGGATCCAAAACTTAGGAAAAAATCCATAGACTTCTAGGTATCAATCTTACCTATTTAAAATCTCCATTCAATATGATCACATAATTTAGCTTTTATACACTAGAAAATAATTTTTATTTATTTTATTTTATTGTATTCAAAAATAATTTTAAATGCATTTAAGCCCTTGAATTCCCATTTTTAAAGACTTTCTATTATTAAATAGATTACTTTAGCTACCTCTTTCATTTCCACCAACACATTATTTTCTCCCTTCAAATGTGTATCCCAATTTTCATGTTTAAAAAAGAAAATTATTTTTAGTTGTGATGTTTCTTGGTCAGAGAGTGAAGATGGAACTAGTTAGAAACCATATTTTTCTTTCTGAAATGTCAACCTAAATCTCCAAGAGTCAAATTCTAAATGAGAGAAAAGCTCATTGTGTGAAGTCAGTGAATTTCTCTGCTCAACTTCTTTCCCATGTGGGAACAACATCAATGGGAAGAGTAATGTTCATTTCAATCTACCCCTTAATCCCACTTGCTCCCAAGGGCTCCACAGGGAGCTACTTGTTCAAGATGACTTTTATTTGCTCAGATTTCAATGCTATGGCATTTTTGATGGCATTATGAATGGATGATTTCAAATGAAAAAAAAAAAAAAAACACCACAAAAAACCTGTGCTAAAAGGTTTTGTTCCAGTTTGAGTGGGGAGAAAGGAGTAGGTTCTCTAAGTACCTTACCATCTTTTTTCTATAGCTCAGCTTGAAAGTGAAAAGCAGTGAAACAGTAACTCTTTATTGCAAATGGTAGGTACTTACTCCAGAATGTTCTGGCTAAATAACATTTTCCCGTACAGATGGTGATGGGCAAAAAATGATCAGAGGGCTTAAAATCCCCCCTCCCCATTGTACTCTGTTAAGCATTTGAAAGCAACCTTGTCCAGAGAAAACGAAAGGGGGAACTTCTAGCTTCTTTTAGAAGAGAAGCTTATTTAAATGATCATCAACAGCTAAGGCATACTTTTTGTTCAGTAGTTCTCGGCCCCGATTGGGCATTAGAACCACCTGAGGAGTTTAAAAACTTATAGATACCCGAGTCCCATTTCTAGAGCTTCTGATTCAATTGTTGTAGATTAGGTCCAGGCACTTGTATTAAAAAAAAAACAAAAAAAAAAAACCTTCCCCAGTCATTCTAATATGCAGCCAGGACTGAGGTCTCCATCTAGTTTCTCTGGGAGCAAGTAGAAACAGGAATAGAATTGCCACCTGTGAGGCTTGAGGTAGATATCTAGATCTTATAGCTGAGAGTGAACTATCTCTTGAACCTGGGTTACTGGTGGGCAACATTGTGGCCTGGGTAAAGATAACAGTACAAGCAGCTATCATAGTTGCTGCTGAGTCCTGGTATAGTAGCATATAAAAAGAGATCATTTTGTTTTTTTCTTTTTAACAACAGGAATATTTGTTACTATATTTCTTTTCTGGTCTCCTGAAAGCTGAGTTCTGAATTGGTAAATCTGTGTAATTTAAGATTAAAAAAAATAAAAATTAAAAAAAAAAAAAAAAAAATATATATATATATATATATATATATATATATATATTTGTTGATTTCAGATAGAAAGGAAAAGGAAGAGAGAGATAGAAACATCAATGATGAGAGAGAATCATTGATTGGCTGCCTCCTGCAAGCCACCTACTAGGGATGAGTGCGCAACCCAGGCATGTGCCCTTGACTGGAATTGCACCCAGGATCCTCAGTCCACAGGCCAATGCTCTATCCACTGAGCCAAACCAGCAAGGGCTAATTTAAGGTTTTTAAAAATCAATATTTAAACTGGCTTTGGTTTCCAGATCTCAAAAGAAATGATTAATAAGAAGCCAGGTATGCTCATTATTGTCTCTTTGCCCAGACCTGTTCTTTGACCATTTCTCTCTACCCCAAGAGGCTGACTTTTCTACAACCACATCACTCAGGTTTTCTTACCTTCTGACTTCCAGAGGGCTTTGCAAATGTCCAGTGAGCAACTGGAGGACAAGAGGAGGGAGGTGCTGGCACATCTATTGCCTTTCTCATTTCCTGGTAGATTTGGCAGTGACTGCACTTCTGTACCCACAGCTATCATTCTTCTTGGGTTCTGATAACAGATATCTTCTGTCTCTTCAGGACTCTTCCTATTATTGCTAATCCATAAGTGCTTTACCATTGCTTGTCATCAACTTTGTCCACACCTCTGTAACCAACTTCTTTAATAAGCTCTGTTCAATTAAACCCATGTAATGAAGTGCCTGTTTGCTGCTCATGTGGTCATGTGACTTGCTCTGTCTGGTGAGACTTTGGCAAATATGACACAAGCAAAGATTTGGTAAGTGCTTGTGGATTGGATCCTGCCCCTTGGAATGCTTTCACCACCATGTAAGATGCCTGAGCTGTTCTGCTGGAGAGGTGATATGAGAACAGAGGTGCTCTGCTGACATCCCCCACCAACCCTAGCAGATGTTGACAGCCCCAAACAAACAAGTGGGCCATTTTGCATCATTCCACACCTAGTTGCCTGTAATGAACGAGTCTAGGCTCTCAGAAGCACTACCCAACCAACATACAGATTCATAAGTAATAAAATGGGTGTTGTTTAAAGAACCACTCAGTTTGGGGTTGTTTGTCACTCATAAATAGACAACTGTTACAGTGTTGGCTGTTCAAGGCTTACCTGCGGATGAAGCCACCGCTGATGGCCATCTGCTCCCGTTCGTCCACCACACGAGCAGGCTGGCTGGCCACCACTCCATCCTGATTGTTGCCCCAGGCTTTTTTGTAAGCATCACTTGACTTAAGCCTAAGCAAAAAAGAGGGTGAGTGACAAGGCAAGATGGTGGAGAGTCAAGCTCACAGCAATGGTTATCTCTTCAAGCCAAGAACTGAACCAAGCAAATGAGTTTTAAGTTGAGGCATTAGAGAATACCGATATATCATAATAAGGACCCAAACAGTTGGCCACCACCATGCCTCAGCTACTCAGCATTTCATGTCCAATTGAGTCAATTGCAATTGTCAAGACTAACCTTTGCCCACAATTTGTTCTTGTTTTGGCATGTTTTTGTAGTTTGGATTTAAGACAAGGATTAAGGTAGCTGGAGGACATTCAGTTCTATTTCAGTGACATGGTTATATTTTGAGACACAAAACACACAGGAAAACATACTGGCAGACAGACACAAAACAAGACTGCCAAGTAGAGTGTGTACATCACACCACAGCAACACACTGTCATCAAGATAAACATATTCAACCAAGTTTTTATACACTATCATGCAGAATTCTCTTTAATTTCTCCCCCCACCTCCAACACAAGTGCGGAACTAACCATTCCAACTCTGCATGAAGGACATAAAGGATTGGTGGTTGGCCAAGGGTGACGGTCTCTGAGTTGCCTCTAGCATGATCTGAATTAGATAATATATCGGTACTTCCAAACAGTCACCATACATCCAGAGTTGATGTACAAACCTTTGTCCACAGAGACAAAAAGTAAAAGAGGCGTAGTGAAATGAATGCAGGAAAATAGAAGAGAGAACAAGCCATCTAGCACCAAAAAGGATAATCCCTCTACATCTTCTTCATGCACCAGCTACAGGCATGAGTAGAAAGTGAAGCATTCTCATTTAAGCCAAACTACTCCAGAAGTTGATCATTCTCAAAAAAGGCACTAGCAGGACAGTAATAGCCTTCATGAGGATTTGAAACGCAGTTTCAATAGCTTCTTTGTCGGGCTCAAGGGCAGGGTGGGAGTGAGTACAAACTCCTACCTCCAACTATCCTGGGATGTGGCAGGGGAAGTGGTCTGGAACTAGAGTGGCCCCCATAGGCCATATTTCACTGAGCTGCCTTGGAGAGAAACTTAAAATCCAGGCATACCTGTTGTGCCCAATAGGAACATGTGCAGCATATTTTGGTGGGTGGGTTGTTATTTAAAGCAATCAAAGATGTTTTTAGGTTCTTTGCATAGTAGAAATCATACACTTTTTAGTCCAAAAAACAAAAGAACTTCCTTTGGTTCCATTTTTCTCAATTTCTATTAAAGATATCTAATCCTCCAACTCCCATTTTTAGTTCAGAGAATGACAGCCATCTGTGGCTCTTATATTAATATTCGCAGATTGGGGATCAAACAACCCTGAAGACAAATTAGAAAACTTTACAAATGGTGCGTCAGTAGCTCCCACAATCTAGCGTAGAGCCCTTAGAGCAGTCAAAATTTACTGCACTCAAGAACCGTGGGCCCACTTAGTGGGACAGGATGCCAACACTAGTTTAATGGAGCTTAGCATCTGGTTTTGTTTTTTGTCCCCAACTCCCTGTCCCCTCCCTCCTCACATTAAAAGAAGTTACATTGGACCTGGTGATGTTTTCTGCTATGTAATGTCTGGTATACCATCTTTGGCAAAGTCAAGAGGGTAGGAAAAGTTTGCGTTTCTGAAAGAAGGCAAATCACTGCACTCACAATGCTGCACATAGACTCACATAACTGCCGTACATCTATCATAATCCTTGGAAACATGCCGAGACAGGGCGAAGCCCCCAGAGAGTCCAGGGCACCACCAGACACTGCATTGTGACACATGGTTTTTACAGCATTATTTACACACAATAGGGAACACTTCAGTCAAGCTTTGAAGCTCAGTGAGGGTCTCTTGTGCAATAAGGAATTGGTGCCAACTAATATGTGGAAATTCACAGGGGCCATCATCTCATTCAACATTAGAATACATCCTGGGGGTGAGGGCCTGCCTCCACCCTTTCTCCACACACAGTTGATAAATGGGAAGAATGTATCTTTTGGAATTATCACAAAACAGGTGTAAATCTCACCCGTGGCAACTGGCCACTTATGGCTATACAGTTAAATCTTGACTAACTGGAATGCTTCGAAATGAGTCACTTTAGTGAATTATATAACTTTCTTCATTAATAGTGGCCATGAGGAAAATTTTGTTTCAGGGGTGATTGCTGATTATCAGTTAGATTCTTGAGCCACTTTCCTATTTTTGTCTTAGGATAGCGAATGCGATTGAATCTTTTATTAATTACGCTTTCTCTTGATGTGTCTGATGGCCTTTACACAGAAGATCAATCTACTCATTGTTTGGTCTTCTTAGATTGGAGGTTATAGCCTGGAGACTGAGTGTGAGAATCCAAACTACCTAGATTGCCCATTTTCAATCCCTGATGTGATATCTCTCTCCCCCTCCCTCGAATTGGTTCATTTGTCTCTTTTTGACAGTAATGGAAGGGAGCAAATCTATAAATACATTTGAGGGTTCCAGTTAGCTAGATTCCAGTTAATCAGGCTTTACTGTAAATCATTCTCTTTTTTAAAAAAGTTTTGAATTTATTTGTAAATTGAGCCCCTCCCCCTCCTAAACAGGAAGTGGGATATTTTAAGTCAGCCTCAAAGTTTAAAGGATGTGAATGGTTATATAATCAGCTATAAATGACATTGATTTCTATTCTAAAAGTTAGGACCAGGAGAGTTTTTAGGAAAAAGGTTTCTGTTCAAAGGGAAATGGGAGATGTGAGGGAGATCAGGTAATGGGTTTAATTTTCCAAATGCATGTTGGACAACCCACTCATGCATTTTTTCCCACTGCTAGTCAAATGAAACTATCTTCCAGAACCCTCATTTTCAGGTTCCTTCTGTTGCAAACCTTTATAACCACATGTCACATTTCTGCTACATTCCAAAAAAAAAAAAAAAAAAAAAAAAAAGCGTTGCAGAACCTTGAGAACAGTTGAATGTTTTGTGATGTTGTGCATGCAAAATCTACACATTTCAACATTTCAGCCGGTGTACAGGTAGATCTTTCAAGAGGAGGAATTTGGGAGGGATGGGTCCAATTTGGGTGAGGCTTGAGTACTTCTTGCTGAAGGACTCCTCGCCTCTGTTTTGAGTATAACAGTGGCATCTCTTGTCTAATCGCTGATTACGTTTGGCAACTGGCGGGCAGTTGAAAGGGTGAATCATTGTCGTAGACTAATTTATAGTCTTGATTACTTGGGCCAAATTACCTGAGTCTTGCTTCTGAAATATCAACCCTTGATATATGTGCTTCTCCTCTTTCAAATTTACCCCCTGTCTATTCTAAATCTGCAATTTTGGCTTTTGGGGTCATGAGGAAAGAAAGTTCATTGGGTGTCTCTTTCTTGAGGCTAGCCTCTGTGTCAAAGTACACTTTCTGGAAAATGTTGAAACGTTCGTCTATAAAAGTTGCTGACAGTGAAGCTTTCACTGTAGTATGCCTGATTTTTAATGCATAGACAGTAACTCCCACTAATATCATCTAGGCTATGAGATGAATGCATCGGAGACGGTATTGATCTGTTCTGCATGCCACATGCTCATCCTGCCTTAGTGCCTGGCGGGAATGAGCTTGTCAAGGCTTGGAGATGGGCCTTGGGAAACCAAAGCTTCAGGCAGGCAGGCAGCACCTACTTGTTACAGGGACACACACAAAGCCCGCAGAATTTTCCTAGGTCCGTCAAATTCTTTTCTGCTTCTTTCATGTCCTTATTGATTTGGTCCATCCCTTCCTCAATGCGTTCCAGTTGTTCTGATTAAATACAAGTATTTTATCCCCACAGAATGAAGCAGATGGAAAAGGACAAAGAAAAAAAAGACAAAACTTCAGACACTCACTTTGACATTAAAAAAAGAAAAAGAAAGAAAGAAAGAAAGAAAACTGGACGCCACAGATTAGAGCTGGTACCCAGTACCTACTTGTTACAAGGACATATGAAAAGGCCACAGCATTTCCCTAAATCTTTTAAATTTTTCTCGGCCTCCTTCATGTCTTGGTTGATATGGTTCATGCCTTCTTCGACACGATCGAGTTGTTCTGGTTAGGACAAAGGGATGACAGTGTGGAATGAATTTTTTGGGGGGTTTCCAACACAACATGAGAAATGACTACGTGAAACAGAATTTGGAAAAGAAAGATATTACAATGCATTGTCTGAGAGGATGCATTGCTGTAGACTGCTTCGGGCTGCCCTATACAGGCATGGTGGAAGGAAACGAACAAAAAGAATGCTCAAAATAGTTTGCAATTCAGACATGACAAGATGGGATAGTTTAGGCCTGTTCGATTCTGAATATCCAGGAAAAAAACCCACAGTGATTCACTTACTCAGATGCCAGTGAAATCCAAGAGAATGAAAAACGGTGTTAATTTATGTTAGGCATTCAGATTTAATGCTACTAGACAAAGTATTTGCTTCAACCTTAAAAATGTCTCTATCTTGGTTTTAAGCATCTTCAACCAAGTAAGGGTAGGAGGTAGAATCTACCTATTCATCTTTTTCTTTTTTATCAACTAAAGTGATAATTAACAATGGTTTCCAGATCTTCTTCTTCCCTCTCTCCTCTATCTCCATCCCCCCCCACCCCCAGGTGTGGTCATCTAGCCAAAGGCAGCACATGGGCAGCTCTCAGTTTTCAGTACTGTACTTAATTCATAGCAATTCACTGAAGATGTAAAAACAGGCACCATCAGCACACAATGGTACAAGTCCTGGGACATTTCAATTCATCCTCTCATCCTATGACTTACTTGCTATTGAGGCTTTGAAAGGCATTTCACATCTCTGCCCCCTGAACTCCCATTCTCTACCATGGGGGACATGATAGATCCCAATTGCCAGCAGAAAGCAGGGAAAATGAGTGCATGAGTCTTTGGAGGGGTGATGGATGGGAACACAGAACAGTACTGAGTCATCGCTGCCAGCAAGGCTGACCTTGGTGTATGAGAGACATAGATCAATAGCCATGGAAATGAATTGTACTTCTAGGTTGCCAGAGTTACATACACAAACTTGATTAATTTTTCAAAAATTATGTCCCCAAATTGAGTCAACTACAAATTCAATGAAAGGATTTTAAAAACAGCTTTTAAGACCATTACAGGAAGGCAGCAATTGGTTGTCCAATTATAAAACCTAATTATCTGTCCTTTCCTCTTTTCATCTATACTTGCGTGCATGCATGCCTATGCTTCCTGGAATAAGGGCAGGATTAGAATTAAACTGATAAATACACTTCTGGTCTATGGGTATAAATACTCCCTAAAAACAATTTCACATTAAATGGTACAGTGGGATTAACATTCTGAAAAACAAAGGTTCATTAGTGACCCAAACTGGGGAGAATGTCCATTTGAAAATTAAAGCCTGTTGTTTTCTCTTTTGTGAGGTTGAAGAACAAAATTCAGATTATTAAGAATGTGCTGTTTCTGCTATGCTTTTCACATGACCAATAAAAACAAAATCTCAATGTTCTCTAGCATTGAGTAGCTGGAAGAATAACAGTGTAGTACTAGTAACATTTTGCTGAATAAATACAGATATAGTAAGAAGGTCTTTAAGAAAATTCTGAAAAAAAGTCCCCCCCCAAAAAAAAAAAATATATATATATAGTAAAAGCAATTCTTTATATCCCAGAAGATTTTGTACTTTTTAAAAGACTTCATTTCAATTTCCCTTTAACAATGCAATAAATTAGTTTGTAGATCAAATTAACTAACAAATGAAGAGATTGTTGAGGGGGAACCAATCAACATCATCAAAGGAAAAGCCATGTTAAGTTCAGACAAAAATAGGGGGGACCAAATCCCAATGGGATACTTGCTGGTATGATGGGCTTCCTGGTATGATGGGTTGAGATGTGATTGGAGAGTCTGGGCTCAGCGGGAAAAAAAGCCTATTGGACTCAATGACAGCTGACGTTCATACAAATTTGTATTTGCTCTTGATCAAAATATTAACTCTCTGACTCTATTTCAGGAGCCCCACTCACTGTGTCTTCAGGGGTTGGGAGATAACAGAAAAATCGATCCACCAGCATTGGGCTTTTGAAGTAAATAATTCCAATGAAAAGATAAAACCAAGTGAGTCCAAATCCATATTCTGAGAGCTGGGTTCTGCCATGGCTGCTGGCTTGCTCGGCAAGGTCATAGCTAAGAGAGGATTCTGAAGCGCTTTTAGAAAAGTTGATTTAGAAAACTAGATATGTGAGTTAAGTATATCTTTATATACTTGTTAAGTCAAACGGTTAATTTAAAAAATATTGTGGAACCATTTTCTCACAGATAATTCTAATATTAGTTTTTAGGGTGTACCGAATTATATTTGTGGATATGTTAGGCATATGATGACTTCATAACACACCAATACTTTCTATGAAGGCATTTCTCGGGAAATGCTTGAAAATAACCGATATCCTCATTCCATTCTGAGGGGCACAGCAGCATCTCAGAAGCTGGTGCAATGCATTGTCCAGGGCTGATTGCTCCTCCCCCCCCCCTCAATTTGCTTTCTGGCTTGTTGCTCTTTATTCTTGGAGCTGGGGAGGAGAGTAACATTTTGGGTCAGAAGAGGTATTCCAGGAGATAACACTATCTAGATAATACCTATTGGGGCAAGAACTTGAACTTTCTTCTGTCATGTTTGATAGACTCACTGATGGCAGGATATGCAGGGATCCAAGTTTAGGCATCTGTTCTACTCATCTTACTTAAGTAAGGCATCATGGGGCCTTTAGAATTCTAAACCTGATTAAAAAAATAGTACAAGAACAGCAAACTACCAATGCTATTAGCCAGTATACAAGCCTTCGTGAGTATATCCAGTTAGAAGACAGATGCTGCCTGTATGATTTTCATTTTGCATTGATGAGCATTGGAAACCATTTAAAAAATTTAAATAACCACATGTGGCTACCACATTGGACAGCTGCAGCTTTAGTCATTCATTACATATTTGTGAGTGGACTTTAGAAAGAGGAGTGTTCTCACAAATGCTACCTTGTCGTGTCATGCATCTTTGCAGAAAGTCAGCAAGTGCTCTGAACGAGGCTTGACTTTGCCTTTACTCTTCCAGGCAAGGGGTTAGTAATTTTACTGTTTAGAGTTGACTCCATGGGATTTCCCCAAGAGCTGCAGCTTCAGCATCGAAACAAACATACAACCCAGCAAAAACCAACAAAAAGAACAAGAGATAAGGAAGTGAAAGGTTAAGTCATCCCACATTAGTGTTAAGGTTGTTCCATGGGAATTTCTCTTGGAGAAAAGAAAAGTCCCAGGACTCAGTACATTCCCAGGGCCGTCTGTCATGCTCCTTGGAGTCTCATGAGACCTGGGTATAAAACAAGAATCCAGTAAGGAATTTCTGAATGCAACCATTTAGCTGGACAACCTGGAATGGTATTTCAGAAGGATGGCTGTTTCCAGAGACTCCTGTGTACCTGCAGGGTTAAAATGGCCAACACCTTTGATGTTCAGGCGCAGACAGAAGTACTAGAGCATCACTGAAGAGAAATTTTAAAGCAGTTACTGATCTAAACAACTAAACACAGCATATGCAGAATGAAAATGCATTAGTAATGGCAGTGAAGATAGTTGTTGGCTTATGCTCATTTGTCATTTTAAAAGGTGCTTATTTCCTATGATAGTATAAATGGAATGTGTGAAGTACATTTAACTGAGGAATTCAGCAATTACTATGGTGTAGCCACATTTAAAATGTTTTAGCTGAGAACATTAACTATCTCATGGGGAAAATCTTCTATTCTATGTTACTTCTTAGAGAATAATATTTAGATGTTTCTGGGAATCATTTGCTAAGAATAATATATTTTTGCATTTGTATGACAATTTCAGCAATGTTTTTCTCTATATTTTTTTCATCAAAGTACAATGAACTTTGCAACTCAAGTAAGCATGCTATTACTTTTCTCTCTTGTTGATTCCAGATTTGTATATATTATCTTCCATGTTTTTTATGTTAGTGCTTTATAGTTAGGGGGGGATAAAAGAAATTTTCCTACACTTTTGCCTAACATTTCCTCCTATTGTAATACTCCCTTTCCCATCCCCTCACATACAAAATGTTAACTATAGAGTTAATAAGGTGGAACTGCTAATTATTTGAATGTATATGGATCACCTTAGCTCTGGAAATGAGGTACCATTCTTCTATATGGGCATCTGCTGCTTAATTTAAAAACAAACAACAGTGTTTTGATGCATCCCGAGTTTCAAAGTCCGTACCACTGTTACAGAGATCAAGCCAGTAAATCTCACAATTATAGCAAATTCATTGGGTGAGTTCTGAAGACTGCCACAACCATTATAATTTTCTCAAAATACAATTCCATTAGACTCCTTTATTTGCATATGTATATTTTGATAATTTGTATATTCAAATTTGTGGAGGGGAAGCATTGGGGTTGATTTTCAAAAAAACTTTTTTTTTAATTTTTATGGATTGGTGCATATTTATTGAAACACTTGAATCAAGTAAATATCATAGAACATAAAGTCCTTACATGACAGCCATGAGGGTATGCCCCTCAGATGTGCCTTCAAGAGAAACCCTGCCAGGAGGAGTATAATTAGCTGACACCTCCAGTTGCTGCACCTATGGAATCTGCCACAGCATTTACATGGAAGCCATGCTCTTCCCAGGATGCTTCTTGCCAATGGCTGAGCACAATGGGTTTACTAGAGCTGAGACATTCCTGCCCAACATGAGGCTGTTCTCTGGGTAATCTTTGCTCCTGGGCTCCCCACCTGGCTGAGATGTTCTCAGAGCAGAACTGTTTTTGTGACCCTTCCTACCCAATCCTGATTCTTCCCTTCTCTTCTCTCATGTCAGATCCACATCATAGTCAGAAGGCTCTCCCTGCCTACTCTTCCTCTCTCTTTCCTTGACCCAGCTTCCCAGAGGATCCCAAAGATAAGCTTTTTCTCAGTCCCTGCCTGCCCCCCTCCCACCTGCCCTGTAATTAATGATTGCAGATTATATATTTTTATGGCCATACCATAATTCACTTAGTTAGTCTCCCTACTGACAGAGAGTTGGGCTGTGTCCAGTTTTATACGATGACAGGTTAAGGCATGTACATTTTTCTTCTGTGTTTTTTTTTAATAATATATTTTATTGATTTTTTACAGAGAGGAAAGGAAAGGAATAGAGAGTTAGAAACATTGATGAGAGAAACATCGATCAGCTGCCTCATGCACACCCACTACTGAAGATGTGTCTTCCACCAAGGAACATGCCTTTGACTGGAATTGAACCTGGGACCCTTTAGTCCACAAGCTGCCACTCTATCACTGAGCCAAAAACAGTCAGGGATACATTTTTCTTTATATAATTGTCAATATACATCTGTAGTGTACAATGCTGAGTGGAATGCTTTGGTGAAAAATGGGTGCACTTCAAAATTTGAAGATATCAAATTATTCTTCAAGCCTTGGCTGGTTTGGCTCAGTGGATAGGGTGTCAGCCTGAGGACTGGGGGGGTCCCAGGTTGGATTCCGGTCAAGGGCATGAGCCTTCATTGTAGGCACATCCCCAGTGGGAGGTATGCAGGAGGCACCTGATCAATGTTTCTCTCTCATCAATGTTTCTAGCTCTCTTTCTCTCTCCCTTCCTCTCTGTAGCAAATCAATAAAATATATTTTTTTTAAATTACTCTTCAAACATTTATTAGTAGTCTGTAGTGCCCATCTGTAGAATGAGAGTTTCTGTTTTTCAATATATTCATAGGATTGGTTATTATAAATTTTAAATACTTGTGTCAGTCTGCTACAGAATGGTACCTCATTGTTGCTATTGCATGAAGCATGGTTTCATATGTCTATTTGTAAACTGATGGTTTATAATTTATATCTATTTTTATTTTAGTTTTTGCTCTTTTCACTGATGATATGCAAAGGCTCTCTGATTTTAGAAAAATGCTTTATGTCTCTTACCAGCATGGCAAAGTTTTTCCCAGCTTGAGCTTTATGCTTTGAGTTTGTTTATGGTACCCCAATAAACAAAGATAAAAATGTAAAAATATTCTTAACAACTTACAAGTTTATTTATAATCTTCATAAACACACTTGTGAATAAATTATTGTGAGCTTCATATTTTTATCTTTGACACTATAAAACATTTTTGTGATTCTGAAGAATTTTTTTAATGCTTTCTTAAAATATGAATAAAGATAAAAAATTTTCTTAAAATTGTTTATTATAAGAATTCAGAATGAAATCAGATAACTAACTTGTGGCTAAAATGAAACAAATCATCATGGTATGAATACTCATATTGAAACAAAGAAAAAATTTGGTATTATCCTTCTTCATTCCACCTTAGAGATGCTATACTAAAATGTTGGCCTTCTGATTTTCATTGTTTCTAGAATCCCCATAATTTTAAAAACAGGTCTAATATTTTAATTTGTTCAACTTTCCATTCTCCTATGATCCCCCCAGTTATTTAAAGCATCCCCATAATGATTTGGAAATCAAAACTGCCAACTACTGAATTAGGATGATCAAAGGAAATGGACAGTGATTATATATATATTTAGAAGAAAATCAAACTTATCAGAAAGATTGGGAATAAGGGGGTTAAGAAAATTCTCACATTATCCAAAATGCTATCATTTAAAAAATCAACCACACAAATAATTTTTGCTTTTAAAAATCTGTTACCCTATCATGTATAACTGGGAGAGTAGTGCTATCCATTTAATCATGAAGGCCTCAATATTTCCATACATTTACCTTTATAGTCTTTTCAACAGTAAAGAAAGGCAAGATGATAAAAACGCTAGAATCTTCACACTCATCTATGTGTTTAACATGTGTGAAAATGACCACCTGTGTGTCTGCACAATTTTTTAATGCACTTTATTCAGATGAGAAATTGTTCTTACTGAAGAAATCTCAACTTACCTCCTTGTTCATCCAACATAACCAAAGTCCTGATACCAGCATCTTTACTCTATATTCCAATAATGGTAGCAAAGTTGAAAAAGAGTTAGAGAGAAAAGAGAGAAAGATAAATCAGTAAAGGGGATAATTAGCTCTATTAGAAATGGGAAATGAAGAAGGTCCCAAGAAAAAGAAGGAGGAAATACGGCAAGAGTATTAGGGGCTCAGGAGGGACTCAGAGGAATGGGTTACATATGGACTTGCTCTACCAAGGATTCTCAGGGTAGAAAAGGGTAAGTGTGAGCAGTAGTGGTCTATAAGCTTCTGATGCTAGTGGATAGTAATGTTATTTTTAACATTGGGTAGGGCTTGAACCTGGGACCCTTTAGTCCGCAAGCTGCCAGGTCCCAGGTTCAATTCCAGTCCTGGGACCCTTGCTCAGTGGGTAAGGCTTGGCACAAAATTGGAATACACTTACTTAATACTATACTGGGATTTTATATTGGGAAATAAAAATACCTGCAGTTTTCATAACACCTACCACAGAAAGCCAATCTTACAAAATCTTCTAGACTAAATCTTCTCTGGCCTGATGTATCAGAAGGTCTCCATCAGTGAATTGGGTTGGGTAGAGGGGAATGTCACATGGGGAAGATGGATGAGAACCTTAGGGGCAAGATTTTTAGGTTTACCAAAGGAAAAGGTTGCTTCACAGAGGATGAGAAACACAGCTCAGAAGGAAATTCACTCTTCTGTGAGGTTTAGAAAGGGATTGGCAGATGAGAAATAAAAGTCATTCTCATAAAATAAGAATTTCAGAATAATCTAAAGTAAATCTATTTCTTATTTTAGGTGAAATCCAAATTTCTTTATTCTGAAACTCCATTCTGCACAGTAATGCATTATGAGAAAATCATTCATTCATGAGCTTTCTTGCAGTTCTTTATTATAGCTCTCAATGGAAGTAAAGACCTTCCGTTTCACCGGGTTACTGTTAATAAGTACAAAATGGCATTGCTTACAGTTTAAATAAATTGTGCTTTTTTTTCTCCATGGAAAGCTTCTGTGTCTCCTAGAATATAATCTAAAATAAGCCATCTCTCATAGCCCTGTTTATTTTCTACTGACTTATTTTAAATAAGAGAGATGTTAGTGGAGGTCAACAGAGAATTTTTTTAAAAAAAATAGTATTTTAACAATTCAATTCTAATAGTGTTCCCAAAAATTAAATAAAACACTAACAGTGATTTTTGTGAGCTTTTATAATTGCCCATTTCAGAGAATGGGTCCAGCTGACTGCCAGACACTGAAGCCTGCCTTGCTTTTAAATATAGTTACTAGATAGGCTTCAGTTGTGAAATCAGGACACAGTCTGGAGAGTGACAGCACAGGGGGACTTCAGGAGTCATGATCAGCACAGATTCTAGAGCCAGATTCTTCCCTGGAATCCTGCTGATTTCACTTCTTAGCTATGAAACCTCAGGCAAGTGTCTTAATTGCTCTGTGCCTTAGTTCTCTCATCTGTCATATGTAATAATAGTTAGTACGTCATTGAGTTGTTGTGGGAATTGAATGAGTTAATATGTGGCATGTGATAACATCCTGCCTGGTCTATATTTAGCATTACCAAAGTGTTTATAAAATAAATACCTTCAGAAGATGCATCTAGAGCAGGATATCTAGGCAACCTAAAAATAACATTACTACCCACTAGCATCAGAAGCTTATAGACCACTACTGCTCACACTTACATGTGCACGTGAGTCCCCTGTTTAGGAAATACCTTGTTAAAATGTGGGTCCTGATTCAGTAGGACTGGGGAAAGCCTGAGATTTTTGCATTTCTAACAAGCTCGCCTGTGCTGATGCTGCTGGTGTGAGGACACATTGAGCAGCAGGATTCCAGACCCCAGAAGACACTTCAAAATCTCTTTCTTAAATGTGTTGTGAAGGGACATTCATCTACACTAGCCTGTATTTGAATGATTTCTGTGCTTTTTCCTGCAAATATTAGCCATTGTGTATGTTAAGAAATTTTAAAAAGCAGATGGCTTATTCCTACATATGGATGTGACAATGCAAGTTCTGGTGAGCCAAAGAGACATCTCAGAACATCAACTCAAGGCTGTGCATCAGATCTTGGTTCCATTCTTTTGGGGCCCGTGGGTGGGAAATAGGTTAGTGATTTCAGTTTGGCCAGTTCTCATCTGTTTATACTTTTTTTTTTTTTGATATGTTATTATACCCTTTATTTTGTATGGAGCTCTGCAAATATAATTTCACATTGACTCTGTTTGGTACTAGATGTTTCAACACTAGAAAAATTCACAGAACTAAACTGATGGGGCAAAAGTTGACCCCAGTTTGGGAGAACAAAAGCAGTGGACATGGACCAGGGAGTCAGGAATGCTGGGTTGTGCTCTTACTCAGCCAGCAACTATTGATGAGACTGAGAGTCACCTGGCCCTTTGGGATGTTTCCCAGCTTTAAGATAAGAGTAGATATGCCATATAAGATTGGGTGGTTAGTAGATTGGTTCAGTCACTCCCTTGCTTGCTCACTCATTCACTCACTCACTCACTCACTCACTCACTCACTCACTCACTCACTCACTCACTCACTCAGTGTTTATTGAGCCTTCATTCTGCTCCAGGCACTAAGGATAAGAAGTAGGTAGACAAATACATGGCTTCTCAATTGTGCTTCATAGTGAGGGACAATCTGGTCAGGTGGGAGGAGCAGGGATCTGGGAGTCAGTACCTCTGAAGCTAGACTTATCTTTGAAATTTTGTTTCTAGAGTCACCTATTCTGTTTCTCAGCTTTCCCAGCTTCCGATGGTACTAGCAATAGCTCCTTCACTTCCCAGAGTACTTAGGGGGATAAAATAAGCTATGGAACATAAAAGGCTTCTACAAATTCAACTCCATAGGAGACTGTGGTTCAAAAGGGAACACATTAAGATAAAGGACTTCATTTATAAAGACTCTCAATCAGTTTAGAATGAGTTGCTTTTATTTTTGTTTGTTTTCTTAGATCTTTCTATTTGTGTGTGTGTGTGTGTGTGTGTGTGTGTGTGTGTAATTCTCAAAGAAAAAAAGTTAAAATAGCATATGAACAGGAAGTTAGGTTCTGTGCATAACATTTCACATTCACTCTGGAATCAGATAATTTCATCTCTGCCATTTGCACTTGTGTCTCATGCAAGTTACTTAAGCAGTGTGTACCTCCATTTCTTCCTTGGTAAAATGGAGATCAACATGCTGTCATTATATTCTGATTTTTGATAGCACAGAAAGTGGGGCATTTTTCAAGGGTCAACTGTAGTCGTGAAAAGTGGCTACAAGGATTGAGTGAGATAATAATGCTTAATGTTGTCAGCTTTCAGCACAGTACCTGGCACATAGTAGGTTCTCAATAAATATTAGGGTGTACATTTGGTTTCACTGTTTTGTTGACAGCTTTTATCAAAATAACTGGATTGTTCTTTGCAATAGAGAAGGGCAGGCCTGGGGGCAATATCTCAGGGAAGGCAGAGTATTATTTTCTCCTCTTCCTTAGAGATTATTATATATTAATAGCTAAGAATGAGAGGAGGTGATTCTATTTTTGTCTTGGTTTCTATTTGAAGTTGCTGGGGTAATTGTCAAAAGCAGGGCAATATGAGATGTGAGGGATTTTTTTTTTCATTCCCCCCCTATTATTATTTTTTTTTTCAGATGAACTAAAATCATGTTTGTGGAACATTTAAAAATATATTTTTTTTTTTTTTGGCCACTCTGAGATGCCTTCCCCCAAATCCAATACATGCGAGCTGAAACTAACAGAGGGCAGGCACTCTAACTGCCAGAATTCCCAAACAACCATATCTGCCTGATGGGGCACAGCTACCCAGCCTGCATTTTCCACCTTAGCAGAAAGTCTGCCCTAACACAGCCATCGCTTTGGAATGCTTATTCTCTTTTTGTGCCCAAAGTGTCTCAAAATATAAATTGGCATTAAAAAAAAAAAAAAAAAAAGATGCTAACACAGGCCTGAAATGTAGGGAAGCCCTGAGGCACCCCTCCAGGCTTTTGAACCAGCCTGCCTTAAAGCAGTGTGGCATTTCCCAGGCTGACTTTTCATAGCCCAAGGTATGCATGTGTAGACTGCTTTTAGTGTTAGCAGTGTTAGTATTTTTGTCTGGAACCAAATATTCCCTCTTTTAGGATACATGCATGACTTTCCTACTAGAAGTAATTGTTGCCTCTTCTGTGCTCTTAAGGCAGGTATGACCTTGAATTTGGAGAGCTCTTGGTAATAGCTGTTTTCCTGCATGATCTAAATTTTTACCTTTTAACTCATCCCCAAGGACAGACATTCCATACATTTTTGCTGAAATGCATCCATTAAAAGAGACAGTACCTCCCGGAGGGAACTAAGTGCTCTATCATTTCTAACCTTTCTACTTGTGTATGGCATTCAGCTCTTCTGAACTTTCCCCACTGACCTCTGTGTAACTTTACAACATCCTTAATGCTAATGTGGCTTCTACTAAAAACTGAGCTGTTACCACACAACTCTGTTACACCCTACCGTCTGTGAAAGATGGCACAGTGGGACATTCCACAGCAGGTGATACTGTTTGCCTTAGGGAGACATCATGAGCTTAGTAACCTTTCCTGACTTTGAGACTGAATCTCAATAGGAATCCTGCTCCATTCAAATTAGATAGCATTGATGCATTTGGGGATCGTGGGCAAGATCCTGGTATTTTAATGCTCAGGTTTTCCAAATCATTTCTGCCCTTGATGAATATTTAATGCTGGTTACCTTTAAAGAGAATTTCCCTTTTTGATTGCAAAGCAGAAAATCATCTGAATAGCCAATTCCCTATACCTGTGGTCGGCAAATTGCAACTCGAGAGCCACATATGGCTCTTTGGCCCCTTGAGTGTGGCTCTTCCACAAAATACCATGGCGTGGGCGAATCTATTTTGAAGAAGTGGCGTTAGAAGAAGTTTAAGTTTAAAAAATTTGGCTCTCAAAAGAAATTTCAATCATTGTACTGTTGATATTTGGCTCTGTTGACTAATGAGTTTGCTGACCACTGCCCTAGACATAACAGGTGCTTTACTATACATATACACTAACCCCAGAGGAAGTAAGAACAAGCCAGTTTACTCTAATCATGGCTTGCTCATCATTTTCTAAGGATGGAAAGGCTAAGAGCCTCCTCTCGTTCGTTAGAGGAGGGAGAGAGCTTCCATCAGTTTTGCTCCTTGTTCTAAAGAATAACTTCATGCCCGATCACGAAACACTTTAGGAGAAACAAACAGGTATGATCTGAGAATCTTACATCAACCAATAGAGCTTTTAAGATTCCTTTCCCCCAGAATAAATCAGAACAGACAATCCTTTTTGAGAACCAGTGGACACTGTCTGCAATTTAAGACACAAACAAGATGTCTGTGGCCCAAACACTCTGCTGGGTGAGGGGCCGGTTCAAAGCGGTGCATTTTGATGCATTTGCTCCCACATATTCCATGTTTTGAGAAGTGTCTTGACATTGCACAGGTAAGCAAATTGGAGGTAGTTCTGCTACTGAAGAGATTGACTTCATTGTGCACACATGTAAGCAAAACTTTAAAAAATGAGCTTAGAGGCTGTGGTTGAAGGTAAGGCATAGGATAATTATGTCAGCACACCTCTGGGCTCCTTTCAGGTCAATGTCAGAGGTCACACCGAAAACGTTACTAAGGTTTGTCCTTTTGCTTGCTTTCAGATTGAGGAACAATCAGTCTACTCAGAGAGCCTCTCCAAGCAATCCTGGATGTAGGTTATCTGCCTCCTCCTTGGTTTTCAAGGATTTCTGCGTGAATGGTGTCCCCAGGACAGAGCAAACAACAATTTCTCGTCCTTTAGAGAGCAAAAGCTGCTTTCCTATGCTGATGAGGTCCCCTTAACGGCCTGCCTCTCTGTGAGTGCAAATTTGTGCTAAATTGCAGGCTCTATTTGTCATTTTTTTGTGATAACAGACTTTATTGAATCCACCTCCCTGCCCTTCCCAAGGAGCTCCTAGTTATCACCTCTCCCTGCTCCTCCTGTGGCAATTCACATCTAATCATTATATTTCCTTCCGAGCTAAAGCTGAAGAAATAAGGGAAGATGTTGGTTCCTTTGGGGTGAAAGGCAGTTGCCCTTCCTGTTAGCCTGGGAAAATTTATCTTTTTGGTTTTTTTCCCTTTCATGTCAGTGGATAAGCAATTTACAGTGGTATCAGGAGAGTTGGCTCATTTAATTATTCTGCTACAGAACCTCCAAGATCTCTAAAAATGATAACCACACATGAATTTACACATTGATTATCAGTTTCAAACTATAGCTAAAACAGCATCTTACTGAATAAAAAGTATTAGGCTTATTTTATTTATTTAAATAAATATAACCCACCCTATTGTTTTTCCATGTCATCTCTCCCAAAGGACATGTTCAATTAATCCTTTTATTCTTCCTGGTTGACTGCTGCTCTCCCAAATTGGAATTAGTGAGTTTTATTGCAAACGGGCTTTTGATTCCATAATTGCTATCTGACCTATTTTACCCATTTAAAAATAGTTTTTGGGAACTCATTAACCATGCCTCGCAAATGGATGTTTAATCCAGAGTTAGGAATATAAAAAAGCTTCTCTGTTTACATGACTGGTCTTAATATTTCTCCCTTATTAAAGAATTATCTTTTTATTTCATGAATTTTATTTTATTTTCCCCCTATTATATCATGCATTTTAGTGCCTGAGTCCAAATATAAAAGTTTCTGAAAATGTTATATGTATAGGGGTACATATTTTAAAAAGTCTCATATGTGGCTGAAGACAGAAGAGGATGTCAAGATATTAGATGCAACTTTAAAGGCATCAAAATCATTACAAATAGCTTTTGATGTAGATCATTCCTTTGTATATTAAAAGTCACTCTGATTTGTTTAAATTTAGACCATTTACTCAAAAATTCTGTCCATCTCTGCTTCTCAGATTGTAAAAGTAGTCTGGGCTGGGAGGGAGCACTTTGATGACTACCTGGCCACTTCACTATAGCACCTCCCTCACTGTATGGCTTCCTGGTAGGCCCCATAAACACCAGAATCAATCAGTCCAGGAAAGTCAGGAGGGTCAGGGAAAAAATATGTGAGCCGTGGGATCAGTTTATCAGACAATATGGTCACTCCTTACCTCTTCAACCAGTTGCAGCATACGACGGGTGCTTTCGAGTGACTAAGACAAAAAATATATATATATTGTAAGTGCAGGATTCAGAGATCTTGGAAAGTCAGAATTACATTCTTCCCTTGAGAAACACAAAGGGTTACTATTACATATTCTTTTATATGTGTAACTGAAACACAAAAGGTCTTCCCATTTTCAGTCTCTTTCCTATCAGGCTTTCTACATAACAAGATTCCCTGAAGCAATTAGAGAGCAGCTGATCTTCAAACAATCAAAACCATATGAAGCTGATCTTGATATCAGACAAAGTAATCTGGAAAATATAATTTTTCATGTGCAGGCTGCATGAAAAGTGATCTCAAATACTCAGAGGACTAACTTGACGACCCTGGACTGGGAATATTGCATTTTAAACACCAATATAATTTTTCATGAATTGAGATGAATCTAACATTGAGGTGTGTTTTTATTTTTTTATTTTTTATAAAGCCCCTAGAAACACAATGGGAAGTTCTTATCGATACAAATTAAACTGTTGCCTTAGGGTGAAAAAGATTAAGCAAGTTTGAAATAACCAGCCCAGAGGAGCTAGGTATAATAATGATCTTCATCCTCAGATAAGCAAAAATGAGATGGGAAGTCTGGTCCCTCAGGCACAGTGTCATCACTTTTTTTTTTTCAGTTCCTTTCAGACTACTAGAATCTAACAGCCAGTGTGATTTCTCAAAGCTGTGCTTTTAAGTGACAAACTTCTTTTTGACAAGATTCTGCAGAAACAAAGAATGTTAACTTTCCTGGAAGAGCTGTGAGTAGCCTGCTATTCAAAATAGAATGGCTGTAAGCAGTGCATGCTAACAAATGTTTCACATCTGGCCTTCCAGAAAAAAAGAATGAATATATGTGATTTAAGTTTACAAACTTTATAAATAATAATAAAATACCCAATACTCTTTATAATAAATTCCATATAACCAATTGATTCTACAGAAAGCTTTTGTGGATTTGTGCTAAGCTCTGTGCCCATAACTAAGTACAGGTAGAACAAGTTGTTTCTGGCATGAATGCTGGTTGATATTTTCATTTATGTGAATGACTAAGGAAAGTGAAGCACTAAAGACATACCTTGGAACTTTACTCACTTATCAATGATGCAAAAGACTTCTTTGCTGAAGAGAATCATAGTTTTTAAATACTAGAAGGTTATTTCAATTTTTTCGTGCTATTTATAGTGTAATAGTTGCACATGTGCACCCTTTTAAGTTTAATCTGCATTATTAGGATTTCCTCCCCTCTCTTAAATCTAGATAATCAACAAAACAATAAATCCACCTCTGATTTGTGTTTGAAGGTTCCCACAGTAAAATACTCTCACCTGTGATTTCTAAGTATATCATGGTGTCGCTGATGGTGAACTTGGCGAAGATTTGTAGTAATGCACCTCAAACATGTACAGACCCCAAACATGTCAAGAACTTTGAAGGCATAGATTGTAGTAAAAATAGTAAAATGATTAAGAAGTGATGAGTTTTGAGTATTACCTCTGATTTTAATATAATTTATTTAATTGTCAATTTATACAATTCAATTTTAATACCAGCTTGCAAAGTTCCAGAAAATGTATCGATCAGCTCTCAGAATTGAGCCTGCTCCAGCAGACTAGTGGTATGTGTGTGTGTTTATTTTAATTGAGATATTAGAATAACCCCTTTTCCCACCTGATCCCAAATAAGACAAACTACCCCGCCCCTCTCTTTTACTCCCTTTCCATTCTCCATCCCTCACCTCATCAGCCAGCTGGTCGGCCCTTCGCTGCATCTCCTCCAGCTCATTGCGCATGTCAGCGTCTTCGGCCATGGTAGTGGTGAGGGGTGGCTGGGCGCCTGGGATGGGGTGTCAGTGATGGGTTTGGCCACCCAACCTGGGAAAAAGCAGATTTCAACATGTGAGAGCTTATATGTGTATGTGAAAATAGGGGATATAAATGGCCCCCACTTTATCTCCTTGACTCAGTCATCCTCTGAGCTGAAAGCCATCTTCAAACAAGGGTCAAGAGAATTATGCTATTTTCCCAAAAGAAGCCATTAATGCCAGCTTTACCATGGAGGTAGATACATACCTGTCTACTTACAAGTATATTTTGAGACACATACCACCCAAGAGTTAAGAATGATGGGATGGAGGGAAGTGGTTCTGAGTTAGTATACTTTTAACCTCACAGCTATTTATTTTTATTTTTAACAGTTTTATTGAAGTTTAATTGGCATACAATAAATTCCACATATTTCAAGTATAATTTGAGGAGTTTTGACATATACACATATGTATGTATATCCTATCTAATAAAGAGAGAATATGCTAATTAACCACCATGCCCTCACAAAGATGGTGGCACTCACAGCCAATAAGGAGGGAATATGCTAATTGACTGCCACTATATTATGCACTTATGATGTGATGTAGAGCTTTAAGTGCTTTGTGTTTTGCTTAAATATGGGTCTCCATTTTAGAAATTAGGGATCTAGGAAAAAGAAACTGGAAGGAATTTACACCAAGTCATTCTTTAATCTTTTTTTTTTTTTTTTAAATATATTTTATTGATTTTTCACAGAGAGGAAGGGAGAGGGATAGAGAGCTAGAAACATCGATGAGAGAGAATCATCCACCATCTGCCTCCTGCACACCCCCTACCAGGGATGTGCCCGCAGCCAATGTACATGCCCTTGACCGGAATCGAACCTGGGATCTTTCAGTCCGCAGACTGACGCTCTATCCACTGAGCCAAACCGGCTTCGGCTCATTCTTTAATCTTGAGATGAGCAGAAGCACAATTCCAATGTTCTCCTGAGTGACTGGGGTCTACCCTCCAGAAAGAAACAGTGGATCATGGAAACAATGAATAGACTGTGGGTTGCAACTTAGTGGAGTAGATGAGGGCCCTGCATGTCAGAAAGACCTACTTGGTGCTGTGGGCTCTGGTACTCAGTTGCTGAGTGTCTAGGCAAATCTATCACCGTTTCTGAGCTTCAACAAGGCAAATAATAACAGTCTCACAGGCTTGTTGAGGGGAATATATTATAGAAAGTTCTGATTTACCTTGTTTGTAAGGATGTGGGGGTTTAATAATTATAAAGCCTTGCTCATTCTGGACAAGCATGTATTCTTTGCTTAAAGTGGAACAAATCCATTATTTATTAATTAGCTTTCCTTTACTAATGGCTGGGCAGGAAGCATGCTGAATACCCATGGAAGCCTGAAACTAGGGAAACAAGCAGAGTGCCTGAGCCTCCAGTCCCTTCTCCTGGGATTAGCACCTGGGGACAAACAAGAGTGTCTTTTCGCCCTATTCTCCAGCTTTGCATTTTGCTGCTTGTTCCTTTATGGAATTTCTTCCTTCAATAAACAGCTCAGTTTATTAGAAGGCAGAAGTCTGTGTGTTTTCCATGCTCCCTCACACATGCTCTCTTCTGTCTCATTCTCTGTGGTTTCATGTCTTTCCTTGGCAATCTCCTCTCAGAGTTGCTATTCTCAGATATGAAGAACAGCTATTGGGCCCGTTGGCTTCAAGCTGATGGCACCCTGTGAGGAGTAGCTGATGGGCAGTTGGGGAGATGGCAGAGTAACCACATGGCAAATACCCTTGTTTTCACCATTTTCATGGTTCCCCCAGAAGATGCCAAACCTTTGTCCTGCTCTCACGTGTGGGGGTATGTCTGAGATTTGGGAGGAAAGCTGATGAGTCTGGCAGATCTCAAATTCACAGCACTTCAAAGCTGGAAAAGCAACATCCCCTCTCCTACTAAGAGGAGCACTAAGAGCAGGCATGGAGCACACACCTGGACCCTCTGTAGGGATGTTTACTGCTAGTGTTGGATAACTTGTCCCACAAAACCAAAATCCAAGCATATTAACATTCTCAGAGACAGTACTTAATAGTAATTTCAGTGACTGAAAGGATCTTAATATCGAAATGGCATTTACTATCTAGGCGATGTGGAACACTTGACTCATATCAAGTGCATTAAACTTCCTTCCTGTGTATTGCCCAAGCAGGGAGTGTGGCCCCAGCCAGCAAAGCCTGCTGAGTAAATGAGGAAATAAGAAGCAGAGCCACTCAAAACTATCCCCTGGGGCCCTGATGTAAGACATTTTCCCATCCATTAAGGGACCAACAGTATTCTATTAATTATTTCAAATCACATTGTTCAGGGGTCTGGCCCCTAGTAGATGTTCAATTTATGCTAATTGGCTTATTGAATGAATGGCTGAATGAACTGTTCTGACACCTCCCCCTCCCCCAGTGGCATTTAATGTTCCCACATCAGCAGTTTTCTTTGTGTGATTTAGGGCAATGCTTCTAAAACTTCAAGAGGCACCAGAGTCCTTGGAAGCCTTGTGAGAATAGATTGCCAGGTCCTATTCCCAAAGCCTTTGAGTCAGTGCTCTGATAGGGATGAGATTCTGCATTTCTAACAAGCTCCAAGATGATGCTGATGTTGATGCTGCTAGTTTACAAATCGCATGTTGAGTGGCTCCTACTTATAGGATCCCCTATCTCCTGGATTGTCAATGTGTCATCAGGTGATGTAGGAGAAGGTTCTGTGGTCAGATGGAATGGGCTCTATTAGGGGTGCTTCAGGAAACCACATCAAAATCCAGCTCACTTCCTGTTTTTGTACTAGCCAAGAGCAAAGGATGTTTTTTACATTTTTAAGTGGTTAAAAAGACTCAAATAAAAAGAATACTTTGTACACATGAAAATTACATCAAATTCCAGTTTCAGGGTCCATTGGTGCTTTGGAGCACACCCATGGCCATTGACTTCCCTATTGTCAATGGCTCCTTTTATCTTTGGTCAGTTGATTTATTTTTATTTTTTTAATTACAGTTGACATACAGTGTTATATTAATTTCTAGTGTACAACATAATAATCAGTCATTTATATAATTTATGAGATGTCTAGTAGCCATCTAACTTGTCAATGGCCCTTTTCAGGCTACAATGGCAGAGTTGAGTGGTTGCAAGAGACCAACATAACCCTCCAAGCTGAAACATTTACTCTCTGGTTCTATATAGAAAATGCTTACTGATCCCTGGGCTAACTAAATTTAAACAGAAATCCTTAAAGCATTCCTTGTTAGCCTTTCATATTCATAAAAGCATCAAGTATTTCCTGTAGACAGACACAATGGGTAGTATTTTCTTTTTTCCTCTGTCTGGATTTGACTGTAAAATCCCCTTTTCATGGGGCTTTCCATGATAGAGTTTGTGTTTCCGGAACTATATTGTAAAACAAGAAATGATGCATGGAGTAAAATATAAAAACAAATTTGCGTTTGCTTGACCATTCCTACTTTAAGACTGCAAACCAGATCTAATCCATATTATCAAAGGCAAGGTTCTGGGGTGCCCACACAAGCCTCACACAGATCCCTAATTTCTTTGTCCAGCTGCAGATCAAGGTTCTCAGCCCCAGACACAACACGGGGCTGTTTGCATCAGACACAGGGTCTGTCACTATTAAGGTGTGTGGTACAAAGTGAGCAGGCTTCAGTTACTCCTTGATGTCAAGCGCAATTTGTAAAGCTCTGCATTTTCTAATGTTGCATCCAAGTCCATTTGAGACCCATAATGAATGCAGGCCAGATGGATTCCAGAGACAACCCTTTCTCCATCATCAAGGGGCTTACTTATTTACATATTTTAGGCGTTCTCAGTGCAGAGTCTGAACTCAAATACGAGGTTAAGACCAAGGAAGAAGAGGTGGGAGTGGCTACAAGAAGTGTGTGTGTTTTTGATATGCCAGGTCTACAGAGGCATAGATGGCTATTTTGCTGGGAACATTCGCCTATATCCCAAGATCCATAACAGGAAGTCTTGGGGAAGGTGTAATTCTATGTTTCACCGTTTAACTAATAAAACAAACCATTTCTTATTTTTACTTCTCTTTTCTTCCTAATATGTATTTTGGTTTGTTCTTTTTATTTAAATTAAGGAAAGATTCATTTTTTGTGTGTTTTGTTTTTTTGGGGGGGTACAGTATTGTTATAAATTGTTTTCTATGTGTTACTGTTGCCCTATCATATAGTTTTGAAATATAATGTGGCTTTTATTATTTATTTTTAAATAGTTTTGCATTTTATTTTTAATTTCCTTTTATTAATAGTAAAGATTAGTATTGCACCTGTATATCTCATTTCACTATGTTGTTATGTTTCACATATTTGGCCAAACTGAAGGGACAGAAATATACATCTTAGACCTATTCCTTTCATCTTTATAAAACAAACCCAAACAGCAATAAACCAGTATTATGCATCGAAGCTGCCTCAAGACTAAGAATCTAACAGTGGGGCAGTGGCCTGATTACTCTGGTTTTCACCCTCACCTTCTAGAAGGAGCCAGCACTTGGATGTCTGGAGGCAGGAGCTAATTATCTCTGTAGTGGTATGAGAAATGTGATCAAGGATGGGCCTAGTGCTTTATTTTCACTGAAAAAAACCTCTCCTTGAAGTTAATGGAACCATAAGACCCAAAGTGCCTATTTTAAGGGAATAGTGAAGCACAGCAACAGCTGCTGAGACAAGTCCTGAAGATTCCCCAAATGCATTGGGAGCATTTTCTATTCTGAATAATAAGAATTCGCCTCAGATTTGTAGAAGCCGTTCTCAACTAAGAAAAATCAGCTGCATTTGTTCCAACAGTCTATTTGTTCCAATAATGGTCATTTATTGTGAACTATCTATATAAAAATCAAACCAGGAGCTTTATATAAAACTGGGGGTTTATATAGAACCCCAAACCTTTGCTACTCCAAATGTCATCACCAGACCAGCAGTGTCAGCCTCACCTGGGA